AGGACATTGGGAAAAGCTTGGATAATTTATCTGGTAGACTGTTACCAAGGAACAATTCAAAAAGCAGCTGTCTTCACTGTTCTGAAAAGAAATGGAGAGAGTAGTTCTGTGGAAAGAACATTTGATTCAAGAAATATTTTCAAAATATAAAAAACATTTACAGTTGTCTTAATCTATCCGGGCTGCCATAAGAAAACTTCTATAGATTTGGTGGCTTATAATTCATAGTGATTTATGTCTCGCAGTTCTGGAGACTGGAGGTCCAAGGTCAAGGTGCTAGCATGGTCGAGTGGGAGCCTTCTTCTAGGTCACAGACTTCTCACTACTTCATGTGGCAGAAGGAGTGAGCTAGCTCTTTGGGGTCTCTTTTACACTGGCACAGACCTCATTCAGGAGGGCTCCCTCCTCAAGACCCAGTCACCTCTCAGAGGCCTCCTTTCCTAATGCCATCAGGCTTATGAATTCGGGGGTGGGTACAAACATTCAGACCAGAGCAAAAATATAAATGTATAAATATAATATTTTACATCTCTCTAGAAGGCAACTAAACAAAATGCTTACGTATAAACAAATAAGGGTTGGATGGGCAGGTAGAGTACCTCATTTGTTCTTCTATTAAGTGTATTTCTGTACTGCTTGTGGAAATATTACTTATCATGGCGGCTCAGTGGTAGCACACGTCATATGCTGAGGCAGAGTGACTGGTGTTTCTCCCTAAGTCCGGTTTTACCATATCTTTAAGTATTAGGGGCTCTGCTACATGGAATGGCTTGTGTAGGAAATCTCATGGTGTAGGAGTAGGGATATGGAGCCCTAGCCAAGCCGTGAAGAAGGACAGTGAGGCTCCGAGGAAGGAGGTGAGGTTTTGAGTGGTCAGACTGATGGCAAGTCTGCTCTGAGGTTTTCTGCCTCTTCCTCTGTCTGCCCTCATGTTGGTCCTGGGGGTGTATTAGGGGCAGTATCTACGTCCCCCCCCCCCTTTTTTCTCTTAAATCCTCAGGACCTTTATAAATATATATAATTAATATTATTATTATTTTAGAGAGAGAGCAGGAAAGGGACAGAGGCAGAGAGAGAGAGAGAAAGGGGGAGGGAGGGAATCCCAAATAGGCCCCATGCTCAGTGCAGAGCCTAACTCATGACTTGATCCTATGACTCTGGGATTATGACCTGAGCTGAAAAGTAGAGTCAGACACTCAACTGACTGAGCCACCCAGGTGCCCCCAAATCCTCAGGACCTTTAAATGTCCATCTGGTACCTCTAAGACCCAAAATTTTGAAGCATTAGAACTTAAGTTATATCCACAGGTTAATTGAAAGAGTTTTTCTCTCCCTCCCTCCCTCTATCCATCTCCCCATCACCATTTCCCCTCTACCCCTTACACTCCCTCTCCCTCCCTCCCTCCCTCTCTCTCTCTTTCATACACATACACACACATACACCACACATGTATGCACACATCCCTCTCCCCTCCACAGTTTGTTCACTGCAGTGTTAAGAGAACCTGATACTCTGGGTAGGAAGTAATACTGCCCATCTAAATGGAAAGTGCAAGAAAACATGTTTTTTTCCAGAGTCTGGCCCAATATTGTTTCAGTGCATTGGTTGTTTATTGTTCTTTTAGATTAAGGATTTAAAAGTTTGGAGTTAGAAAGCTAGATAAGCATTCATTTGCATTAAATATAAAATGACGAGAATGTGGATTAAAATGATGAGAATGTTTCAGAAACAGTATTCTTGTTTCTGTGAGTATCGGGGGGCATCTGTGTGGACTGGACCCCGCCTCATGCTGCATGCCTTCCCAGCGGGCCCTCCGTCCCGTCCCCACAGTTGAGCAGGTGCTGCTGACTTCAGGTAGGAAGGGCTTGGCCGGTGTCGCATTTCTCCTTCAGCAGCGTCTTGTGCTATCAAAACCTAACACCAGAAACAGATGGAAACTGGGCCTCAGGTTTCGGATCTTGTTCAAAGGACAGGAGTAGCTGAGTTGAAAAGTGTCAGATTCAGAAAACCTGTAATTAGTTAATGGATGAGGGAAATGAGGAAGGGAAAGTGTCGTATAATGAAAATGGAAAAATTAGTGATTTTTCTCTATGTTTATCCTTGGTAAAAAGCACTCATATAAACATAGATATTAAGGTGTATGTATGTGGCATGTGGCATGGTATTTCAGTCAAGTACTCTGACACAGGGTCTAAGCAGTTTGAGGATTAGGTAGTACTGTAGATGCAAGGATTGCAGCCCCATGTGGAATATTCTGGCCAGGCCATTTAAAATTAATTCAAAGTTAACTAGATGCTCTTTATTATTTAAAGTATTTATAGGATGCATAAATGCACTGTTCTTTCATCATAAATACATAATAGCATAAATGAGGTTTCTTGGATGACTTACATTATTTTTCATGGCTTTTGGACAGCACCGTGAAAGGGAGTTACACTTGTCTGATACCCTTGATTGAAGGCTAACTGAAGCTTTATTTTATTTTTTTCTAGCATGTTTTTTCTTTTTTTCTTTTTTTTTAAAATATAATTTATTGTCAGTTGGCTAACATACAGTGTGTACAGTGTGCTTTTGGTTTTGGGGATAGATTCCCATGATACATCGCTTACATACAACCCAGTGCTCATGGTGCCCTTCTCAGTACCCATCACCCATTCTCCCCTCTCCCCCAACCCCCTCATCAACACTCAGTTTCTTCTCTGTATTTAAGAGTCTTTTTAAAAAATTTTTTAAGTGTTTTATTTATTTCTGAGAGAGAGAGAGAGAGAGACAGAGAGACAGCACAAGCAGGGGAGGGTCAGAGAGAGAAGGAGACACAGAATCTGAAGCAGGCTCCAGGCTCTGAGCTAGCTGTTAGCAAGAGCCCAACACAAGGCTTGAACCCACAATCTGTGAGATCATGACCTGAGCTGAAGTCGATGCTCAACCGACTGACCACCCCAGGCACCCTGTCTGTATTTAAGAGTCTTTTATGGTTTGCTTCTCTGTTTATACCTGTTTTTTTCCCTGAGTTTCTCCTGTTCCACATATGAGTGAAAACATATGGTATCTATCTTTCTCTGCTTGACTTATTTCACTTAGCATAATACCCTTGAGTTCCATCCATGTTGCTGCAAATGGCATGATTTCATTCTTTCTCATTGGTGAGTAGTATTCCATTGTACATATAAACCACATCTTCTTTATCCATTCATCAGTTGATGGGCATTTAGGCTCTTTCCATAATTTGACTATTGTTGACAGCACTGCTGTAAACGTAGGGGTCCATGTGCCCCTGTGCATCAGCACTCCTGTGTCCTTCGGATAAATTCCTAGTAGTGCTATTTCTGGGTTGTAGGGTAATTCTATTTTTAAATTTTTGAGGAACCTCCACACTGTTTTCCAGAGTGGCTACACCAGTTGGCATTCCCACCAGCAGTGCAAGAGGGTTCCCCTTTCTCCACATCCTCGCCAGCATCTGTTGTTTCTGGACTTGTTAATTTTAGCCACTCTGACTGGTGTGAGGTAGTATCTCAGTGTGGTTTTGATGTGTATTTCTCTGATGCTGGGTAATATTGGGCTTCTTTTCATGTGCCTGTTGGCCATCTGGATGTCTTCTTTTGGAAAAGTGTCTGTCCATGTCTTCTCCCCATTTCTTCACTGGATTATTTGTTTTTCAGGTGTTGAGTTTGGTAAGTTCTTTATAGATTTTGGTTACCAACCCTTTATATGATATGTAATTTGCAACTATCTTTTCCCATTCTGTCAGTTGCCTTTTAGTTTTGTCAATTGTTTCCTTTGCAGTGCAGAAGCTTTTTATCTTGGTGAGGTCCCAGTAGTTCATTTTTGCTTTTATTTCCCTCACTTTTGGAGACTGAAACTTTATAGGAGTCATCTGGCAATAACTTAAAACAACACAGCAAAACCAATGGGAACTTGAGTATTGTAGGAAAATTTAGTTTATTGAAGTTGCTTGTTTGATTTCAAAACTTTATTGTTTTATATCTCTATATGAAACTTTTTTTCCTCTATAGTAGTAGCGTTTCCTAAACTGTAACCCATAAAGCATTCTATAACTGCATTGTTTATATGGATTCAAGGAGGACAGCTTATCTACTGTAGGACTTCTCAGAGCCTTTGACAGTATTAATATTCCCTGTGACCCTTTTAGAGTGAGATGTTTCCCAAGCTTATTTTGCTAGCCTGCCCCTCCCCCGCTTTTTTCTTGATGAACTATCTACCAAGAGATAGAGTTTGGGAAATTATGTTCTAGCATCTTCATAGGTATTTGCTCATTTACTTCTCAGCAGTCCTGAGAAGCAGAAACAGTTCTGGATGAAGAAGGATCTAAGATCCACCAGAGTTGAGGCTTGGCAGGAGGACCCAGGTCCCCCAATGACTCATTCAGCCTTTTCTTTCTCTGTTGCGGCCTTCCACGCAGGTAGGAGGCACTCAGTCATCTCAGTCATGTGCAGTGGGGGCTCTCCTGCTGAGTAAGGAGTGGTCTGGGTGATATGCCCACCTGAAGTATCTGTGTCCTGTGACCGGTCCACAGGACTCTATGGTCTCCTTTTTTTTTTTTTTTTTTATGTTTTTATTTATTTTTGAGAGAGAAAGAGGGAGAGAGAGTGAGCATGAGTGGGGTAGAGGCAGAGAGAGAGGGAGACCCAGGATCCGAAGCAAGCTTTAGGCTCTGAGCTGTCAGCACAGAGCCTGATGCGGGGCTTGAACTCACAAACCATGAGATCACTTGAGCCAAAGTGGACGCTCAACCAACTGAGCCACCCAGGCACCCCAGGGCTCTATGGTCTCCTGTAGAGGCCTTTCTGAATTCCAGCAAGTTGATAATTAGGATGAGTGAGTTAATTCTCGTGCAGCTTCTTTGAACTAATGATTTAGGCAGCCCCCCACATGTACTTCTAAGTAGGAGAGGTGCCTAGGTACTCAGTTGTGGTTCTCTTGTGTTTTGCTTCCTGATTTTTACCCCATGAGACTATGTCATGTTTTTTTCTTTTTATAGAAAGAAATTCAAGCCATGAGTCAGTGCAGCCATCCCAACGTAGTGACCTATTACACCTCTTTTGTGGTAAAAGATGAACTTTGGCTGGTCATGAAATTACTAAGTGGAGGTAAGTAGGTTTTGTTGTTGTTTGCTTGTGTGTGTTTTTTTTTTTTTGCCTTTTGTGCAAGCTGGAATATTGCATATGACTTTACATTTGGACCCCTCACTCTTGTATTTAAAGTTTTGCTTGGCTTATTATTTACCTAGAGAGTAAAGCCCAGGTTTCTTCACACTGATATTCAAAAGCTTTTATAACTTGGCTGAATTTCCTAGAATACCTGTGTCCTTTTCTGCCCAGCCTTCTTGATGTAGGTGAGGCTCCCTAAATACCACTGCACCCCGATGTCTCCACATGTCACCTGTGCTGTTCCGCAGCCCTAGATGTGTCCTTCCTTCTCCACCTGCTGAAGTCCTAAGAGGTCACGTCCTCTATGCAACACAAAAGTTAACTAGTCCTTCCCCTTTAAACTCTGTTTTTAATATTATTCAAGTCCTTAACACATTGCAATATAGTGAACTACTTCAGTGCCATTTATTAAAAGTTCTGTGATGATGGAAATGTTCTGTAACTGTTCTCTCCAGTTTCCACTAGGCACATGTGGCTCTTGAATACTTGACACGTGGCTGGTGTTACTGAATTTCTGGAGGAACTGAATTTCTATTCATTTTTAACTAGCTTATATTTAAATAACCACAGATGGTTAGTGGCTATGATATTGGACAGTGCAGATTTAGATTAGATTGTGGACTAGATGAGTAGAGCATGGTCTAATGGACTTCTCCCTTATTGAACCTGGCACCCAGTGGGTGCTCAGTAAGTATTGTTTCATTTGAAATGGAGAGAAACTGGATGCATGCTAAATTATTTGCTTCCAGTGTTGATTGGAAGTGGCACAGTTTTCATCCTGTGGTTGCATCTGAAAAGGCAAAGTAACTTTCCCTCTCGCCTTAGATCACTGAAGTTATAAAAGCCCTTGGCAATTTAACTTACAAGGCACTTTCACATTGCCATAGTTTTTCTTTTAATCTTTTAACATCACTAGTTGATAGATAATGATAATGGTAGCTATTAACTTTATTGAACACTTACTCTGTGGCTCGGTCCTGCTCAAGGCAACTTTTTTTTTTTTTTTTACCTTATTTCATTTAATCTGGACAGCATCTTTGAATGGCAAGTGTCACTGTCCCTGCTCTTCAGAAAGTTCACCAAAGCTCAAGGGAGTTGGGCAGCTTGCCCAAGGTCACATACACAGTAGCTGCGAGCGCTGGAATTTGTGGCAGTAGGACCCGTGGACTTAAAAGCTATGCTACGCCACAGGAATTATCACCTTCATTTTACAGACATGAAAATTTAAGCTTAGAAAGCCCCAGTGATTTTCTTTGTAACACCCACATCTGTAACGTTCCCACATCTGTCGCTCCCTATATATCCTTCCCAGACGTGAAGTGTGGTTTAGGAGCAGAGGAAGGCATTTTTCAGTGGCTGGATGAAGCCAGAACTAGTGTAGCAGAATTTGTATTCTAGAGCCCGTTTTAATCTGCAGACCTGGTTCCAGTGAAGGTGGCATTGAGGAAGCATCTTAAATTTTTTTTTTTTTTTTTTTTGTAATGAAAGCCTCTTGGACCAAGCAGAGGCCCAGAGCAGACAGGACAAATATGCTGCAATTGCTTTGGGTCCGCTTGCGCAGGTCTCAGTGGGGAGCCTGGGAGAGCCCAGTTCGGTTCTGTTCCCAGTCTTGTCAATCCTATTAGTCATTGTTTCCTTGAGTGCCTCCCTCCGGTTTTTAATTAAACAGGAAAAGAAAGAAATGAAGGAAAAAAGAAAAAGGCATCCTGCTAGGGGTGTTTGCGTGTGGGCACTGCTCCGGGGCTCTGCCGAGGCTGGTGCTTTGTCAGTAAAATGACCTTCACCGAGCCTCTTGTTGGCAGGTTCAAGATTCTGGTGACCTGGGCCCGTGGAAAGCCCCAGATCCACTGCTCAAGCTGAGGATTTTATATCCTCTCTTTCTTTGGATCCCAATTAATCTTTGGTTGGCTTGAAAATGTCCTGTATCCCCTTGCCTGAGGACTTGATAGAAAATTTCATTGTCTTTTTAAAAAGAATCCAATTTAGTTAGTCTCCCTGGGCTCTAGGTAAGACGAACAGGTTTTAAACAGGTTTCCACAGGTCAGGGAAACCTGGGCAGAAGTGGACTGTTGCTCTTTTTTCTTCTAGCAATCCAGAGATGGCATACACGCCTTACCAGGTATATCCTTATAAAATAAAAATGAAATGGTTGTGGAAGTATCATTTTCAAAATCACTGAAGAATTTAAGAGTCAATGAATAAATAGATGTTTTGTTTCTCCTAGGGGATAAATATGTATATGTTTTCTTTTATAATAATTTATCACATTAAATCTCTTAATGAGAGGCCAGCAGCTAGTCTGGTGTGGTAATACCCAATGGGGAAACTCAGTGCCCCCAGTTAATCATAGAGAGCCTAGAGCCAGATTCAGGTCCTGAGGTAAGCCATTTGTTAACTCTTCAGAAATGTTGAACCCCCAGGTAATTAGTGCTTTTAAAATGACCAGGAGGTTTGGAATATTAATTAGTATGTGTTGAAACATGAACTCACAGTGCCAAGGATACTACTCTGTTTGTGGTAACAAAGTACTGTGTATTAATTTCATTATGAAAGTTAGTACATTATATGGATCAAGTAAACGAAAATAAAGATTGCTCAGAGTCACAGAAAGGAATCTTCTGTTTATAAGCAGGGGTCTGGAGGCAATATATGTATATTTTTCCCTCCCCTCCTACCTGTATTCTAGATGTTCAGGGAGATCTGTGCTTCTGGCCCTCATCAGTTCACTGCAGTCTGCAGTCTGTTCCCGTGGCCGCCTCCTCCCTTTTATTTCAGTTCAGACATCTTGAATCCCCTCTTGAGTCTGTAACCAGTCGTGTATGTGTGGGAGAAAGGGAGTAACCTTGGAGTGACCACAAACAATTTTTTGGTTCCTGACCCAGAATTCTTCTCATGCTGAAAGCACTCTTGCAAACTTGGATTTCGTGTTTCTGGTCACGTGCCGCCGGCAAGTGTTTGTGTGCCTTCGGAGCAATCATGTCAAACAAATGTATTTTGACATTTCCGTTCAATTTTCTAAATGGTGGTGTCCAAGCTAGAAAGGTAATGAAGGTGCTTACAAAGACCTTTCGATTCTTCTGTCTGTCCACATAGGTTCCATGTTGGATATCATAAAGTACATTGTCAACCGAGGGGAACACAAGAACGGAGTTCTGGAAGAGGCAATAATAGCAACAATTCTTAAAGAGGTTTTGGAAGGCTTAGACTATCTACACAGAAATGGTCAGATTCACAGGTATGACTTCTGCAGAGATGTTTAAATTCAGCCATTTGTATATTCAGCTGTAGTTTGTAAAGAATATTAAGGAAACATGTATTGTCGGTAGGTCTCAACATTATTTCTGAGCTAGGCTGAAGAGTTGTAAAATAAGTACTTAAAAGAGACGAGAATAAATTTAAAAAAAATTTTTAATGTTTATTTTTGAGAGAGACAGAGCACAAGTGGGGGAGGGGCAGAGAGAGAGAGAGGGAGACACAGAATCCGAAGCAGGCTGCAGGCTCTGAGCTGTCAGCAGAGTCCAGACATGGGGCTCAAACCCACGAACTGTGAGATCATGACCTGAGCCAAAATCATAGTTTAACCGACTGAGCCACCCACACACCCCAAGAGAATAAATTTTGATGAAATATATTAGTATCCTCAGCATTGCTTTATCCATTTTCACTGAAATAAAAGCAGAATGTAAAAAGTACCCAGTGAATTCATTTAAAAAATTAATAATACTAGTCTTGAAGTATGATTAATTGAACAGGATAGCATCTCTAACCTAATATAGTCAAAACTGTCCCACATGTTGTAATGTGCTCATTATTTTTGGCATGGTGGTATGAGGATAGGAGGGGGAACTGATTTCATCTCCTTTTGTGACATAAAATGCTGATTCTTTAAATAGCCAAACAGCCTAGAATAGGAGCATTTGATGTTTCAAAAGGGTTAGTGTTACTTGGACCCCTAGGAATGGCTACAAGTAAATAAGTATTAGTAATACTGGTATTGTAATTCCCCTACCTCGCTCTTATATGTGAGCCATATATTTAAGGATATCTGCCATGTCTTTTGGTAACTAGAACAAAATGTGACCTTAGATATCAAACTTGTAAGTGGTTATTTTTCTTTTTAAGTGGTAAGACTTCTATATAATAAAGAAATATATTATAGAATATTATAATTGGCATTTATAATCATTATATCTCCAGGGGAGAGGCTGATCCAATGCATTGTCTAAGAGGCTGCTGGGATTAATTTGTAATTGCACCGCAGACAAATTTAAGTGCAAACAGAACAGCTTTATATAGAATTATCAGCTTTAATTCTTGATAAAATGATCGTGTGGCGAGTTAATGGACAGTCTCCTACTGTATAACATAAAGAATGTACACACTCATGATTTAATTAAATTTGGATAATGATTTCACATAAAATATTTGTTACTAAAATCCTAACCATCCCCCAGGAGCAAACTATAAAATCACAGTTTACCCCTGTGACTTTTAAAATCTGGAGAGGTGTCATGCTTGCTCCCCCCCATTTATATATTTATAAAATTATAATTATGTTAAACAGCTATATGATGTGATATGTTTTTAAATCTTTCTGAGTGAACTGATGCAATATAATGTCTATATTCCATAATTCATTCTTCATTTTGTTTTCTAATAGGGATTTGAAAGCTGGTAATATTCTTCTGGGTGAGGATGGTTCCGTACAAATAGCAGGTAAAGCTGATAAAAATAAAAATTCTTTTGACAGAAGTGTTACAGTTTCAAGGAACGTAGAATCATTCCAAATAAAGAGTGAATGAATGAATGAACGAACAAATGAATGCATGTAATCTATTTTAAGCATGTATCTGGGCTGCCCTGTTATAGAACATTTGGGTCTGAGGCAGTACATGTTTTCCTGTTGTTTTGGTAAGCTGTTGTTAAATCATCCTATAAATAATGTTATTTTAGAACATAGCCTTTTGATACAAGCAATTTTACTTTCAATTTCATTTTTGCTAACTTTCATATTGAACAAAGGTGGTATGTATATAACTGCGAGGAAAGTACTTTTGAGAGTTTTTTGATGTGTTTGAAAGTTTAGAACCTTGTACCCTTTGATTAATTTAAACCCTTCTCTTTCCGAAGCGGTGCTGAAAGCATGGTGAACCCTCAGGTCTATGGGTTGTTGTGTCTTCCCTGTGACCCTGCGTGGCCGTCCATGACAGGAGGCGTGCAGGTGCAGTGCCCGTCTGCAGAGTGCGTGCACCAGACAAGCGCCCTCCGTGTGCAGAACTTCCCATTTTGTTATTGTACCTAGAGTAACCCGAAAGGTCTGGGATCAAGTGTCTCCATGTCTGTATTGACTCGTGTTCCCCCCACATCCTCTAAGGCTTGTCTCCTCAGTCCTCTCAGCCATCACTGCTTTTTGCATTTTTGGCTGGACAGTCCTTACCTGTACCGAACCGTCCCTGTCATCACAGGCTATTCAGCCCAGCTCTCAGGCTTCCAGGCATTGAATGCTCCTAGCAACACGTCCCAGAGACGCCCTTGGTGAGATTCCCTGACGCGGCTTCTGCTGTTGAAGTGTGCTGAAGTTTGCCCCAAATGTTGAATCAGCCGGCCTGCTGCTTTTTGAGTTGGAGTGGAAGAGGCCTCTCTTCTAGCATTTAGGGTTTAGGGTCTTTATATATCAAGTTATTAGAGCAGAGTTGATCACAGTCCTTGCTTTTAGTCTAGTTTCTAGACAAATGCGAGGATCTGGGGTATTATTAGAAACAGGAGAGCTCAGCAGAAAACAAACATGCCCCCAACACAAAGGATAAGCCTTGAGTCATCTCTTTGATTCATTGTTTGTCCCTCTCTAGGTGCCAGAGAACCTGTCAGGTGATGCCTGGCCTGTGTGACAAGCACAGTGCTGACCTTGGGCTCTGTATTTAGTTGGGTATTTTCATAGGGGCTTTTATTTATTTTCTTTTAAAGGAGAGAAAAGAGGTTTTGAAAATACAAAAGGGAAATGGAGAATTTGTTTCAAATCCAATGTTTCTTCCCCGAGGAACTAATAATGAAAGCATTTGCTTTTATTAGTGCTCTCTTTGAAAAGATAGATTTAGTCAAATATTATTAGTCGTTGGCTTAAGACCACTGTGGAGGCACTCTGTGTATCAGTTAGACACAAAGGCCTTGGAATCAAAACAGGCCAGATTTAATGCCCTCTGTGCAGTGAGGGGCAGGCTGTTGCATCTCTGAGCCTCAGTTTCCCCATCTGTGAGATGGTGATGATAATGCCTGTCATTCAAGAAGACACAGATATCCTTTGCACCTATTTTTTTTGCGCCTATTTTTTTTTAAGTGTATTTATTTTGAGATAGTACAAGCAGGGGCGGGGCAGAGAGAGAGGGAGAGACAGAGAATCCCAAGCAGGCTCTGCACTGTCAGCACAGAGCCCGATATTGTGCTTGTGCAAGGTCAAGGCCTGAGCTGAAGTCAAGAGTCGGACACTTAACTGACTGAGCCACCCAGGTGCCCTGTACCTATTGAAACTTGAGCTTCAGGGCCCTGTAACTGCAGTGTGTGTCTGGGATTGCAGAGTGTTCTAGGTGGAGATAGAGTGTCTTAGTTGGAGAGGCGTTCTAGGCAGTCAGGAGGTATTCTATGTAGGCATTGTATTTATTTATTTAATTTTGTTAAATTGTCTGAAACTATTCCAGAAGAGGACCTTAATCTTTAGGATGCCAGTGAATTGGTATGAATTTTTTACTTTTAAGAAATAGAAACACTTATACCTAATTTCATATTTTTGATTTTGTATTGTCTGTCTCAAAGAGGGGCTTCCAAATTGTATAAGCTTCATGTCCCTTGAAACCTGGATCTATTCCTGCCAATATAATTGCTGCAATAGTTAAATAATAAGTGTGAGAAATGCATGGTAAAACCAAGAAAACGGGACAATAGACAGGAATACACATTATAAGCTTATTTATAGGAGCACTGTTTGTGATTGTAATAGGTTAGAAACAACTTAGGTGTCCTGGTTAAAATCATATATGGTATATCTATGTTATGGGAGACCCACCAGCTGTAATGGAGAATAAAAAGCCCTGTACATGCTGACATGAAAGAAATACTGCCAGGCTACGTGGTTAAATGAATACAACGTGAAATAGAATGCACATGTTATGTTGCTTTTTGTGAAGGAAATGGGGAGACATATCTCTGTATCTTTGAACAAAGAAACAGTAGAAGGATAATGGGGAGGGGGACTGTATAGTGCATACCTTTTAGAACATTGTGAATTCTGAACTGTGTATGACCTGGTAAAACCAATGAAAGGAAATTACTTAATAAACTGTCAATAAGTCGAAGTCATTTTTTAAAGCCTTTTATTATAAAAATTTTCATATGTAGCCTAAAGCAGAAAAGAGTAGGAAGAATCTCATGTATCCACCATGATCAGTTTCTGGGCATTCTTTTTTTTTTTTTTTAATTTTTAAAATGTTTGTTTATTTTTGAGACAGAGCACAATCTGGGGAGGGGCAGAGAGAGAGGGAGGCACAGAATCTGAAACAGGCTCCAGGCTCTGAGCTGTCAGCACAGAGCCCGATGCAGGTTCTTGAGCTATCTAAGTGAGCGCCTTATATATACATATCTTGTCCTTATTCTAGGTAGTGGCTCCTACCCCACAGGCCAGGGCCATTTAGAAAAAAAAAAAAAAAAATACTTCGATGAAACAAGTGACAACTGAAAACATTTGTGGATAAAAGCCTCCGGCTATCTCAGCCCAGGGTGCTCAAGAGTACAAGGTCTGGTTGAAATTCCCAGGTCACCAGTCAAGCTATGAGATCTTGGTCAAGCTACTCACCTTCTTTAAGACTGTTTCCATAAAAAGGGATACAGATATAACCCCCCTCATCTTTCTTGTGTGTGAAATCAAAGGAGGCTCCGCACATGCAGAGACCCTAACGGTGGCTGGCACACGACACACACAGCAGCTGCTGTCGTACTTCTGTTCTTCACTTCACTGCCATTCTTGCTGTTCTCAGGACCAGCAGGCTTGCGCCCATCTCCCTTGCACCGCCTGGAGGTCACATGGGCCTCAAATTAGTCTTGCAAGGGGTTCAACTCTTAGGGGCTCTTCTGAGTTATAAAAAGCTAATGCTTATTAATTATGGAACTGGGAAGTTAACTTGTCATTCATTAATCTTGCTCTAAGCTGATAAGGAAGTACAACTAAGTTTCTCTCTTTGGTGATGAAACGATCATTTCTCACCAAGAGTCAGAATAGCAGTGAGCTGCCTTTGAAATGCAAAAGCAGGTCAGCCCTTGCCTTATTCTGCCTCTTGGCACTGTGCCAGTCACTTCATCTATTATTCTTGTCAGATTAGTGACCTGAGCTCTTCCTTCAGGCCTTCTGTAGCATATTGGCCATTTCATTTTCTCACTTGGGATCCCCTGAAGTAAGGATTCCTGACTTTTTCTCTCCCTCTTGTGCCTTGGATTTTTTCCTCACTGTGGGTGGTGGTATTGAGTGTGACCCTATACACACTTGCCCTGTGGGGACTGCTGGGTTCAGAAGGGCACGTGCAGAAAGCCACCTGGGTAGTTGTAGGATTAAATGAGTTCATGTGTAAAGTGCTTAGAACAGTGCCTGGCAGGGGCGCCTGGGTGGCTCAGTCAGTTGAGCATCTGACTTTAGCTCAGGTCATGATCCCACGGTTTGTGAGTTCCAGCCCCCCATCAGGCTCTGTGCTGACCGCTTCGAGCCTGGAGCCTCCTTTGGATTCTGGGTCCCATTTTCTCTCTGCCCTCCCCGACTTGTGCTTTGTTTCTCAAAAATAAATAAATGTAAAAAAAATTTTTTTTTAAAAAAAGAAAAGAAAAGTGCCTGGCCAGCATAGTGAAGGTGTAGTATACAGCCGTTCTGGACTCCCCGTGGTATCCCCTTTGTGCGTGTGACGTCATACTTGTGTCAGACCAGCTGAGAGATCGCCATCTCCCTGGTGTATAATGGTGGGTAAACAGGCAATTAAATTGTGCAGTTCCTACATCTCTGGGGCTATGGCTTTCTGGAATTCATATTTTCATTTTTTTCCACCTTTTCTAACCTCAGCACAACATTGAATTCCTATGGTACTTTAAATTACTTTTTTTTTTTCTGGTTTTAACTATAAAATAAGATTATTGCTTTAAGAAAAACCCTTGTAATGTTTCCTTGGAACAGGCAGGCACGGCTGCCTCTCCCTGTTTCCTAGGATTTTGACTTTCTTGGTCAGGTGGTTGGTTACTGGGACCAGGAGTCTTCGAGATCTTTGCTGGCATCATTGTCAGGTGGGTGAAGAAGGGGATGTGGGTGGGAGAGGAAAGTGGAGACTCTGCAACGGAAGAGGTAGACTTTCTCTTTTTGTTGCTACCTATTATCTTTGGGGAGATAGTACATTGCTTTTATTCAGGCTGTTTGAGTCCTTTCTTTTTACATCTTTATGTTCCTTAAGACCTGTTTTTTGAGATAAAATTTAAGCAGGGGAGAACGTTTGCATTTATTTCTTTCAATGTATTGTTTACTTTGAGAGTATCATCATGAGCATTGTTTTCAAAAAGTATTTGTGCTATTGTAATAGAAAACATTACAATTTTTATTAAAAAAAACTACCATATATATATTTCCTTTCTCAGAACTTTTAATTAGAAAAGGGGAAATTAACGTGTCTGGTTCAGACTATGAGAAGCTCTCATTT